TTCCTGATATTTTTCCTGGAAAGATCACGACCTAATCTACAGGATCTCAAATTTTCAGATGTCTTTCCTTATTTTTCTGAGCGCCAAAAATCGCCAAACTTGGCGCGTGAAAATTGCGGGACTGGACCCGCCTGCGCCTCCTGGTCGGCGCCCCCCGTAAAGACCCGCTCTGAACTCACCGGAATGCCACTTTTTGGGTGGCGGGTAGAGTGGTGGTTTAACGCTACGCCTACACTAGTGTCCTATACTAGGAGGGTCTGACTCCAACACCCAAGTGCAACGCCGGATCCCCTCCCGATGCTGAAGATCAAAGTGGCAACTTGCAGTCCGTAGATGCAGAATGGCTACCCCTCAGCCTCGCCTACTTGAGGGAAGCCCTAAAGTCGCCAAGTGTCTCCCTTAGGTCAGATTCCAGGTGCGAGTAACTGTCACTGTTGCATCTCCCAAATTATCGCACAAAGTCTTCTCGAAGTGTCTCACCACCCCAACTTACTCTCAAGCAACCTGGTCAGGTCCAATGTCGACCTAACACAATCTAACCAGGTGGGGGCAGCTTCCCTTAACCACGCTGCCCCACTGCCCTCAACTTGGGCAACCCTTAGTGGTAGCCCTCCACTTAGGTCAGGGTTGGAGCGGCAAAGTCAGCTCTCTCCAGCAAGTGGAATCCCCTCTGATACCAATGTTACGATCCTGGCCAATTTTGAAGTACAAATTCACGAGAAAGCACAATGCCATCCAATGCAAAAAGAAATGAATGAACTTTAGAGGAGAGAGAGGGAAAGAAGAAGAAGAAGATGTACACCAGCAAAGACCTATGATTATCCCCCTTCTTCTCGCCAACCAAACTCTCCTCCTTTTCTCCTCCACTCTTATTCAAACAATAAATAATAATAATAATAATGATGAATGGCAGAAGCAGAATCAATGTCCGAATCCCTCTTCTAATGCCAGCACAACTTGAGGTCCACCATAGCCATGGCCACCCTTCACCTTCCTCTACATCTAGGCCGAGGCTATGGCGGACTGCTAAGGGCCCTGCCCTGCTGTGCAAAAGACAACGCAAAGCAGCTATGGCCTCTTCCTCTCACGCCATGCCTGGCTCTGCCTCAAAGCCTCTTGATGCAGCTCTACCCCGATTGGGGCCTTCCAGATGCAGCAACCGGCAAGATGATGAAGATGTCGTCCACCCTAGCCAGGTAAGTACCCCTGGTGCTCCCCCTTCCTAGTCCTCTTCTTCCTCCTCCTCCAGCCCAAGCTCCCCCACCATAGCCAAGGTGGAGAGCTGGGCGGTCCTCCTCTTCCCCAGCTCTGGACTCAGCAGCACTCCAGCCAGCACTCCAGCAGTGTGACGTCCAAACTTGCACGCAGCAAATGAGGAAGAGCTCTAGGAAGAGCTTTTGGCTCTCCCTTGAGATATAGCGAGGCAGCAGCCTCCTTGGGCGGTGACTTCCAGGCCGTGCGGCCTCCAAGCAACTGGTACCCCCTCCATTTCAGAGGGAAACAGCATCTGCACACGGCCTAGACTCAGACTACTTGGGCTGGTACCTGCCTAGACCTACCCTACAACTACTGGGCCTCTAAAATGCCAATTTTTGTCTTCATCTGCTCGGCCTCCAGTCCCCGGCACATTTCCCGCTACTTGAGTGGTACCGGCCTACCTGCTACTTGAGTGTTTTTCCCCACCGCTCTGAGTGTCACAGGCCTACTTCCGCTACTTCAGTGTTTTCCCCGCTGCAACCCTCAAATTCACGGCCACAGGTAAGTACCGGCCCTACGGGCCCTCCAAGCAAGCAAGTACCCTTGCCGGTCACACACACACTCAAGCCGACAAGCACTCAGACAGGCACGCAGACCAGCAAGCATGCACACACACAGACTCGGAAAACTCAGCAGAAAGCGGGAACCTCAGCAAGGCATTCATTCTAGCGGCAAAACTCAGTCCGTGTTGGGGCAGGTCCTTACAGATCGATCAAGTCAATCAATCAATCATTCAAACCAATCCATCAATCAATCAATCAAGATTCTTGATTGATTGATGGATTTGATTGATTGATTGATTGTTTCTCATCCCTGTCGTTGGCCCCCCTGGGGCGTGAGGTGCTCGAACTGTTGCTTGGCTCGAATCTTGGGTCGAAATCTTGGGCTCTGTCGAATGTTGGATCGAATGTCTGCTTTTTGCAACTTGTGGACCCCATGGGGGGTGCTGTCGTGGTGTCTACTTTTTTCTGAGGAGCCCGACCATTTGCTCGGATGTTCTTGGCTCGAATATTGGGTTGATTCTTGGCTCGAATCCTGGCGCGAATCTTGGCTCTGATCTTTGCTCGAACTTTGGGTGGTCCAATACTTGGTCGAAATCTTGGGCTCCGTCGAACGTTGGATCGAATCTGAGCTTGTCGCAACTTCTCGGCCCCATGAGGGGTGCTGTCGTGCTGTCAAAATTTTCCCAGGAGGCCGAACTTTTGCTCGGATGTACCTGGCTCAAATATGGGGCTGATTCTTGCCTCGAATCCTGGCTCCAATCTTGGCTCTGATTTTGGCTCGGACTATTTGTGGTTGCAATCAGGGTTGCATACCTACCGACCGCCGACCGTTTTGCAGCCGACCAGTTGGGCCGACCAGTCGGCGGTCTGCCGACCAGCCAGAAAACAACCATCCACTGATTTTTTTTCAAATCTGAGTTGGGGGCTGTACTGCGCTTGCTGAGTACAGCCCAAATCCCCTGAGAAACTTTTGGGGATGGGGGGAGGTAGGGGGGTGGAGGGGGGGGTATAGGGGGGGTATAGGGGTAATATGGGGGGGGGGTAGGGGGTATTGGGGGGGGGGTAATGAGGGTGTTGGGGGTGTTGGGGGGGTGGTTTGTGGGTGTTGGGGGGGTATATGGGAGTATTTGGGGTTGGTATGG